TTTTTTTTTATAAAATTTGTTATGATTTAATTTTAAATTAATTGAAATTTAATATAATTATTAAATACTATAAGTTTAATAAAAAAATTTAAAAAAAAAGATTTTAAAAAAAAATTGAATAATTTTGAAACTTGATTTGGAGTCCGCGCTTGCAGCTGGAACGCACTCTACCCCCTAACCTAAAGAAGAGCCCGCTTCTTCTACATTTTTAGAATTCATTTTTCCATTCATCCAAAGTGTGGACCCCTCCCTTTTCTAAACCCTCCCCCCACCCCACCCCACCCCAAATCTTTTTCTTCTTTTCTTTTTTAAATCATAGATTTTTTTTTTACCTTATCTTAAAAGATGTAATCAATATAATTTTGTATTATTTATTAATATAAAAATTATTTTTAACTTATATACTAAATATACATATAAAAACACTCATTATTTATTTATTTATTTAGCATTATTATACGCCTAGTACTCCATCTACATTCCTACTGACCCTAGAAGTGGATTCAAATTCAAACAGTGTATTGCCAAAGAAGATTTCAAACAAATCCCGTTTTGTTTTACTGTTAACATCTTGAACCTGATTGATTGTCGTCTAATAATTTACTGCTTTTGGATGTTTTACAATAAAATTATGGCAGCCTTGATTTGGACTCTTTCTCTTTCTCACATTATATTATCATATCACATATAGAACTTGATTGTGGAAATTGTGACAGCAGCGGGGTCCTAGTTTACTTCAAATTTCAAACCAAATTGGAGATACAATCAAAGTACAGGTAAATAAAAACACACACAACTCATACTAGCTACATTATCAATACAGACATCTAGGAACCAGATGGTGCTAATGATTGTGATCCCACAATACAACAGAAATACAAATTTTTCAACTAGTGAATGAGGATAATAGCTGTTTTGCAATTTTCCTGAGTGAGGAACAGCTTCATACAGGCATTGGAGGAATGGCTTAGCTCTTTTATCTTCGGTGGCTGCCACCATCAGCAGAAATGGAGCGATCCCTGCGTCTCCTAGAGGACTCATAATCATCTGTCTTTCTAGCATATGGGGAATGGGAACGAGATCTTGATCTTCCTCGCCTACCCCTTGACTGATAGTCTCTGTCATTCCGGCGAGGTGAATAACTACGAGACCTTCTGCGGCCGTGTCCTGTGTAATTTTGGCCAACCAATCAATACAAAGCTATCATTTTTAGATATAAAACCATGATTTGTAGATTTGTACAACGGAAGAGAGAAGTGAAGGAATTGGCTCTAAAAATTTCAACATTGGTGACCTTCTAAAACATCATTTAGAATTTTAAAAAGTGGAATGGCAAGAAAGATAGATGCAAGAGTGATTCAAGTTACCTCGCTTATCTCTCAGGCCTTGATACCTGCCAGGAGTTGGGGTTCTGCCACGTGACCTTTTAGCCTGCATTACAAAAATAAAAGCAAAGATAAAATTACCACTCATAAAACAAGTCAGCAACATAGACACAACATTATGGTAACGACAACGTGAGGTTTTGAAACTATTTTACACCAAAAGATCCTGGAAGTCGCCTCTCAGATTGTAGAGATCCACATCTAGCGTCTACAGTATGCAGAACAAGAAGTAATTTTCCTCACATAAAACTTATCCTGCTCCAGATGCCATTATGGCAAGCATTTCCCAAGGCTGCTTAAATTTTTGAGTCACCCTTTATTGTAAACAAATAAGATAAGATATTCACCTTCAATTGAATAAGCACCATAAGACCCAAAAATTGATGCTACGTGTATGTCTTGAGGATATTTGAAAAACAACATAGAAATAATAAACAGCCACTCCAGATACTGTTACTGATCACGAAAATGAAAAAAGGGCATACGACCCTCAGCAAAATAGTCGAGTTTGAATCGATGAGTTTGGAATGTCGATGCAGAAGTCATGTCGTGATGGGGTACAGGTTCAACTGTTAAGAGCTTAGATTGTGAATTCGATGAAGCTACACACATACAAGACCTGCTGCCAAAATTTATTAGGCAACACATCTGAAGAAGCAGAACTTTTAAGTAAAATTCTACATAAAAGTTTCAGTAAGAACAAACACCATCATATCCTTGGAGCAAACTTATACCTTTTCAACAGTGATTAATCGACCTTCAAGCACCGAGCGGTTCAAATACTTGATACAGCGGTCTGCATCCTCAACAGTCTCCATGGTGACAAAAGCAAATCCACGAGACTCTCTCGAACGGGGATCTGTTACCAGATGGCATTCTACAACCTGGAATAAATAAAGTACTTGCTAAATATTATCTTCTTAAAGTGGAGGGAACCTATATATAGATCCAAGGTGCTTCAACTTGTGTATCTCACTCTAGCTGTTACTATCCAGTGATGGTACTAGCAATGCAGTGAAGCTATTTATGTTTCATGATTTAAGAAAAAGGAAGCAGCTGCTGAACAAAAAGAGAACCACAAATATGAAGCTAAAGAACATGCAGGAAGCAAAAATTCTTAACATATCCAATCCACCATATACATGAGTATATTAACATGTCCATACCTTCCCTTCCTTGTTGAAATACTTCTCAAGATCACTGGAAGTAACCCTTGTGGATAAACCTGTAACATACAAGTTATTTCCTGGATTTGCCGCATCAACAGAACGACTCCTGTAACAACAAAACCAACTCGTTAAGTGAAATCAAACTTTCCAATGAAAACATGTAGGTTCACAATGTGATGAGGAACAAGAAGAAGCTATTCAGTAGTTAATTAGATTATTTAGAATTCTTAAGTAATTATTTTTATTCAAGTGTAGTTATCATTAGTTTTCCTACTTTTAGAGCATGTTTGGTGAACCTTGTAAGAGCTTTTACTCTTTTTTTTTTTTCTTTTTTTTGGTTGTTAGTTTTAATTTTTTTTTGGGGGAAATTTTAAAGTTTGTTTTTGGAAATAAAAAAAAAAGTGAGTAAAATGTGAGTAAAAAAGAAGTTTATAAAAAGCACAAATTTGAAGTTTTTCAAAATTTTTTGTTTTAGGTCTTTTTAAGGTTAAAAAGAAGTTAAAAAATGTAAGTTTTTAAGTGGAAAATTTAAACTTATGAAATATAAATAGTGTCAAAAAACTGAAGCTCTTACAAGTTTCACCAAACATGCCCTTATTAGGATTAGGTCTTTTATCAAGAGTCTTAAATCCTAGTTAAATTAGAAAATTTAAATTTCAAGTTATAGACTAATTAGAATAGGAGTTCTAGTAGGAGTCTTAGTAGTTTCTATATAAATATGCATGTAGTTTCTTTCATTATTCAGTTAATAATATTCACAATTTTCCAGCAAGTTTTGCTCTTGATTGTGTGATGCAACTAATCTTAGGTGTGATGCCTAAAGAAACCTAGGTGTGATTCTAGTCTTTTTCTATCGTTCTCGTTGTTTGTTTTCTATTTGTTCCTCTTTTCTATCCTAAACAGACCCTATTTTTCTGTTCACGCATACTATTCACAGTACTCAACAGCCTCTAATTAAATCCCCAAGCCCACCATACCCCATAGCCTGTCCCCGCATCACAATGACAACACCTACTAGTGATTCCCATTTTTTTTACCTGGATCGACTCCTTCGGGACCTTGGCAAAGACCTTGATCTTGACCTTGAACGATGACGGCCTCTTTCAGGTGAAACAGAGCCACGCGGTGAAGCTGACCTGCAAACATCATTCCAAGAAATGTGTTTTTAACATTAAATTTTTTTTTTTTCTTCTTCACTCATACCAACTCGAAAACAGAAATTATAAAAGATTAAAAAAAAAAAAGCACTGACCTTCCTTCCCTTGAATATGACATCTATTAATACAGAAAAAAAAACCCAAATATCAGACAAACTCCATTTTCATTTAGTTAACACAAACATATTCATATCATCAGAGACTTTATTAAAACATCTACTTTTCTTAAATAGCTTCAAAGAGAATTAAAAAAAGAAAAAAACTTTCAGAATCTCCATAACAACGCTAATTTAATCTTTCAAAGAGCTGTTGCAGTAATCGTAAATTCGAAAGAAAATCAGAAACATAGAGAAACTAAGCAGGCTCTCAGCTACAGATTATCGCACAGATCTAGAAACATAAACAAGATGATACAAGTTAAAAGAAAGCAGATTCAGAACAGGCAAGCAGGGAGGCAGGAAGGATCATGGTGAATGTAGGTGACAGGTTGAGGGAATACCTTGGATTGGGGTGATGACCGAGTCAACTCAGATGCCCTAACTCGTTCCAATGACAAGATTGGGAAGATTAATAAAAAAAATAAGAACATGGGACACAGTAAAGAGGGGAGTAGGGTACGACTAAAAACTGTGTCACGTATGATGCACGTGGTATGAGTCCAGCTGGAACTAGTTGGGCTTCTAGTGCCTTACTTGGGCCCACAGTTTTTAAAGATAAGATGCTGAGACTTTTTTTTCCCTCTTTTCGTTTTTCCTTTTTTTTTTTCCTTTTTTTTAATTTTTATCTTGATTATAAAATGAAATAATTATTTTTTATTTTTTATTTTACTTTACCCATATGTTCATATGTCATACAATTTAAATTCAATATCATTTATTTTCAATAAAAAAAAATGATAATTGAATGAATTAATTAAGTGGTTACCTACTCTTTCTTTTAAAACATTTAAAAAAACAATATAATTGCAAATGATGTGGTTATAATGCATAAATTTTACCGAAATTTAGTGACACAAATTTATCAATTAATTAATTAATTAATTAACAATATACTGTGCATCGGTTTTTCAGACATGAATGATGACCGGCCGAAAAGAAAAAGCAAAAAGAATGATGACCAGAAAAGATATGAAGACTAACGAATTAGTTGTGTTTACACTTGAAATTTTGAAAACATAGTCTTGCCATTTTTTTAGTTTAATCTAATTTATTAATTTTTTAACAATAATTTTATTTCTTCGTTTGGTTAAATTGATTTTCAATAATATTTTTTTTTGTAAAATTTTATCCCTTAAAATTAAATTTGAAATAAAATTAATTTTGTAAAAATATTGATTTTTTTTACTGTCTATAAACTTTTATGACATATCATTTCAATTTTTTTTTAACAATTCTCTTTCATAACTAAAATTATAATTATTGACATATTTTAATTTCTTACATAATTTATCATAAACTACTGAAATTATCCTATTTTAATTTTATTTTAATTTTTCTGTTATTTTTT